CCTAGAACTAGAAGAAATAGAAGAACCGGTTAATATTATTATAGACTATAAGAATTTTAAATACTTTATATTTACGAAGTCTCTTAACTACTACTAGGTCTACTAAAGTGAGTTTCTATTCTATTTTAACTCTAAGATTACCTACTAAAAGAGTAGTCTAAATATAATAGCGGACGCTTTAACTTATTAGTCTAGAGACCTCTCTACTAAAAAGGGGGGTAATCCTTAAAAAACCTAGTTTTAAATAGTATTAAAGTAATATAATCTTAACTCTTAACTAAAACGCACCCTTCTAGCTACTACTAAGATTTATTTAGCTTCTACTAGAGTCTATACTACTCCCTTTAAGCTTCTACCTAATACTAAGAATAAAGAGAAGCTACTAGTAATCTAGCCTAATATAATTAAAATACTAGACAAAATCTCTAAAACTATACTAGACTAGAATATCAACTCTATCTATATATTAGATAAATAAGCCTAAGAGATTCTAACCTACCTATAATAAGGTATCTATACGCTAAAGGGCTTTCTACTATCTAAAATCTATAAAAAGAATAACTAAATTATCTACTAGGACTATTAATTCCTACTAGACTCTTACTAGATTAGAGTATGCGCCTTACACGAAGCCTACTTACTTCTAGCTATTAGATATTCTAGAAGAGTAAAGATATTCAATATTCTAGTACACTCCTACTAGTAGCTAGATATAATATAAGACGTCCGCTAGTTTATTTATAACTACCCTACTTATATCTATATAAAGATCTCTTAAGACCGCTACTATAGCCTACTAAAGCCCCTATCTATACTAGAATAGCGCTAGTCTAATATCTTACTTAACTTTATTATTAAACTCCTTAAGAGTAAGAATCGCTAAGAGAATCTATATAAAAATATTCTTATAATTATATACCGCCTTTCTAAGATACGGCACTTTATTTCTTATAGTAAGATAGACGCGCTAACTACCGTAATACTCTTCTTTTAGTATATTTAGAAGTACTATAGTATTCCTAGATTAATTGTCTTTAACTAAGAAAGCTAATTTATTAGATAGTTCTAGAAGGAACTATAATTCTAGCTAGGTATCTAGTATAATCTCCTTATAGCCTACCACTCTAAGACTAATAGCTAAATAGAGGATACTAATATAGTTCTAGAATAGTACCTATAAGCGTACATAGTATTTCTATAGAATAACTAGGTGGATTAGCTACTCTATGCGGAGTTTACATATAATAACTATATATTAGAAACTACCTAAGTCTCTCTATTTCTAGCTAATTATAGTTAATACCTTCTTCTTAGATTAGAGCCTTGCATTTCTAAAGTAGATCTACCTACTAAGCTAGACTAAGAAGAAGCAGCTTAGTTCTATAATAAAATAACCGTTATTACTTAGAAGTTAAAGGAGTAGATATATCTAGTATAAGCTATATATAAGGATACTATTAACCGCTAGTAGGCCTCTACACTAAAGTACTAAGTTAGTAATAGAGTATATCTAGATATATATAACCTATAGTCTAGTCGCCTACTCTAGAAGCTCTTAAATAAGTACTATAGTTCCTTTTATATTACTAAAGTTATTAGTGTATATAGCTATTACCTAGAAATTCCCTAATCCTAGCACTACTATCTAGTATTCTATACCTTACTAATTCGGCCCTCCGCTGACAACCTTTTACTAGAATAAGCTCTACTATCTCTCTTTCTCTATTTAGGTACCTCTATAGAAGATATATAGGGTGTAAGCTAGGTTCTTAACTTATAGAACTACTATAGGCGCTCTAAGGTGCTTATAGATTAGATTAGCTTAGATAAAGACTTCTAGAATCCCTTATACTATATACTAACTACTTATATAGAAGTTAATTGTTTCTTTACACGCTACTCTTATAAGCTAGACTATATCTACTAGTTGGAGCTTAAGGCCTATAGCCGCTCTATATTATTAGTAGAGTCTAAAAAGGATTCTAATATAGTATCTAAATATAACTCTAACTTAGACGCCTTATAGGAACTTAGTCCTTAGAGAGAAGCTACTATTATAGTTTAGACTTAGTATTCCTTAGTATTCGGATCTTTAATTATTCTAGAGTTATATAACTTAGTTATGTAATCTACTTATAGAGCTTTCTTTCTATTTTCCTTTCTACACCTTCTAATCTTATGTAATATCTTATATATTACTCTAATAAATCAAGTTCTAGTATTAAGCCTTCCTGTATTGTGACATATATAACCTTGGAATAATAGAAGATTTAAATACTAAGAAATATTAAGTTTAAACTATAATAGCTAGTTAATCTACTAATTACTCTAGATAAGTATATATTAGTTTATACTAAGATAGTTACTATAACTTCGGAGATACTCTTCTAGGCTTCTTATACTACTAAGATAATTATCAAATATTTGTGTTATTACTAGTGTATATTCTACTTATAGTGTTAAGAAATAAGAATATTTAGAGTATCTACTATATTGTAAGTCTATTAAAGTTAGGTAGAGGAGGTGCTAAGACTATTATATATATAGACCACACTAATCACTCTACTAAGCTAAGAGATATAGTTTGCATACTAAGGTGTCACTATTAGCTGAAGGAATAAGCCTATAGTACTACCTACTAAACGGACGCCATCTGTAACTTCTGTAGCCTTAGCTAGGTATATATATTCCTCACATTAGGCTGAACTCTAGGCTCTTCTCTACTACTTACCTAAACTCATTTAATACCGCTGTAGCTGAGCAAGTATCTATAATTCTAATGCCGGGCACAATTCGCTTCTTCAGGGGCCTTCAACTAGGCAAAAGCAAGGGAGTACAACATGCTAGCTCCGCTACCGATTCTGCCAGCCTCCTGGATCTTCTTAACGCGGTGCAGCAGAGCAGTGTCTACTTCCTTCCAATCGCATCCCATAGTGCCCTCGGAATTGCAGGCAGAGGTTTCTCCGGCGATGTTAACCAGGCTACGGCAGATGTGGCTACCACGTTAACCTTCAAGAGGGGTATACCTTCAGAGCTACGGCACGACACAAGCTCCTCTCAAGACTGGTACTCTCTTGTGACGGAGATTACAATCCTTCAGCATACGCCGGTTCGAGATAATCCGCATATCATCGAGCTGGTAGGCATTAGTTGGGATGTGAATCCAACCGATAAAGTAGCATGGCCGTACACGATCACTGCTAAGGCGAATCGAGGGTCTCTAAGGAGCTTCCTTCTACAAGGTAGCATCGAAGGACAGCAGAGTTTCCAGATATGTGTTGAAATCGTAGGGGCCTTGCATACGCTCCGTCAATGCGGTAGGATAAATACTTCAGCTTTTGCGGATGTGCTGTGCTAACTCTTCAGGCATTGGTCACGGCGATATTAAGCCCGACAACGTCCTGATAGAAGAAGATGCAGACGGTAATATGCACTCTCGGCTCACCGATTTCGGGGCCGCAGTAATCTCGGGACAAGAGCGCCAGCCGCTTGGTACTAAACTCTGGAACGCCCCGGAGCTTCGTGTAGGGAAGCTGAATCACGTATTGGCTGAAGATATTATGGCAGCAGATCTCTACTCATTGGGTCTCCTTGCCGCACATATCTTGATTCCAAACGATGACCTTGCCCGCGCCGAAGTTTTCCTGATAGAACCGACGCAGCGCACCAGCCAGGTGCTGAAGGAATTCAGGAAGCAGGAACGGCTAACAAAGACCTTGATTGATATCGCTGAAGCAAGTGGAATTCCGGAACGCAATCAGATTCTACTCCAGAAAATTCTTGACTCGACTTTACTCAAGAACCCTTCAGATCGAGCGCTTCCTCTGGAGCAGATTTCCCACCTCATTGACGATAACTCGTCCCCTATGTATGATTATCTTGACAAGCCTTTTTTTAGCTGTCTCACTAAAAGATTTTAGGGAATCCACCCTACCTCGAGTCGTGCCGCCACCAATGGCTTACTCGTCCACCACGTCGACGCCTTGTATACATCAAGTCTTCGATGTACGTTGCGCGTGTTAAGCAGGAAGAACCCCATGCTGACGTCATCGATATAGGTCGCTGCATCAGTGGGCATGCTTGATGATGCAGATTACATATTGCGTTTGAATGTAATGCAAGAATTCGAGTCAAAGGCCAAGTCGAGCAAGTGCGCAGGCTGCTTCAATTTGTACGCGGCTCAGCTTGCTCTCTGTTTTCGGATTGGATTTGGTAGTTCCAGAGACATGTCGCTCTCACAATCTTGGCAGAGTAAAGCTGCCTTGTCTGATGCCGAAATGAAGAAAGCTATCGAACGCTTAGGCATTAAGTACCAAGCCACTGGACGTCTCCCCGAACAAGTCCGACAAGCCATCGCGATCGGCGTAATCGTAACGGCTGACCGTATACAGCAATACCAGTTGCAAGGTCGCCTTGAGGCCGCTGAAGTATCGCTTCGGTTAGAGGTTGGTGCGCGGGAGGAAGAGTACGGACAATCGCATATCTGCACGGCTAGATTGAAGTCGGACCTGGTGCAGATCCTGAGGATCCGAGGCCGCCTCGCTGAGGCCGAGTCAATTCAACAGAACACAATTGGTATCTACGCTAGTCGATTTGGCGACCGTCATCCTTCAAAGCTGTGCGCACAGGCTACTCAGGCATCTCTCCTTGCCGACCAAGGTTTACTTCTGCAAGCGGAAGAAACCCAACGCAAACTGCAGCCGATTTTCAAGGAAGTACTGGGCGCAGACCATCCCGAAACTGTGATAGCACTACAGAATTTAGCTATCACACTTCACAGCCAGAGCCGTTATGAAGAAGCAGCTGATCTCTTACGCGAGGTCTGCGAGAGAAGAACGAAAAGCCTAACGTCGGGACACCCTCTCACGATCCGAGCTGAGATTTGTCTGGCTTCAGCTTTGCACAGTCAGGGTCGGCTCAAGGAATCCAATGAACTCTTGCATTCCACTGCAGAAAAAGCCAGTCGTTCTGGCGATCCTATAATAGAAGCCCACGTTGAGATGAATCTGGCGCAGTTCTACTGGGAAGCTGGCCGGTTAGCGAAGGCTGAGAAGGCAGCAGAGCAGGCTGTCAATCGACTTGGGAGCACCCTGGACCGGAATGATCCAATGCGGCTGAGCTCTTTGGAGGTTCTCGCGACAATCTCCGAAGATCAAGGAAATCTCAACGAGCAAGAGCAACTCCTGCGCCAGATACTGTATGGCAAATCAGCGCTCGACAAGACAAATCCTTCGGTCTCAAGCACAAGACTTCGCTTGGCGTACAATTTGATTAAGCAAGGCCGGTTGCAGGAAGCTACTTTCGAAGCGAAACAGGTACTCGAAGCATTGAAGCAGCAGATGAAATTGGATCCTGAGAACTTTCTTACAAGCACGGATGTTATAGCTTCCTGCCTGCAACTTTCAGGTAGGCGCGAGCAAGCCGGCGAAGAGCGTCAGCATCTACACCGCAAGTTTCAGGCAGAATTAGGCGACACCCATCCATTCACCATGCTTGCGGCTACTTCACTAGCTAGCTTTTACGTCGACCAGGGCTGGTACGATAAAGCCGAGCAGATTCAAGCGAACGTTCTGGACATACACAGGAATAGCCAACAAATCAACAAGGCTGCGGTAAAACTTGCTCGAGAACTTGCCATAACCTACCGTGAGCAGAACAGATTTGACGAAAGCATCAAGCTTTGTGATGAAGCTCTCAAGTGGTGCTCCGAAACTCTCGGAAAGGATCATATCGACACCCTAGCGATCAACAATGCCATGGCCGCAACCTACTTTCAGATGGGAAGCCTCGACAAAGCCGAGGCGCTGTACACGACACTGAAGGATTCTGCGAAAAATACAAGTCTAGAACCTTACGTACTAAGTAAGTTAGCCGAGGCTAGAAGGGCGCAGGGTGACATGGAAACTTCGGAGAAGCTTTTCGAGGAAGTGTATCAAGCACAACTGGCACAAAAGGGGCCGAATCACCCTGAAACCCTTATGGCAAGGGGAAATATACTGCGCTGTAGGCTGGACACGAGGCTCGACGACGTTACGGAGAACGAAACGCTTGATAACATCAGCATGAAGATCAATGCTTTCGGGATCTCCCATCCAACCACTGTCAAAACCATGACGGATCTGGCAACCGCATACGCAGAAAATGGACGGCAGGAGGATGCGGAGAAGCTATTCCAACAAATGGAGAGTGTGAACGCGGGCGTCTCAATACAGAATTCATTACATTACGCCATTTACCTCGCAAAACGTGCGGATGTTCTCTTCCACAGCGGAGATCTAGACAAGGCCGCAGCGCTCGAAAGGCAAGCTTTAGCCATCCGTCAGACGTTACTGCCCGAAGAAGATCGCGTCGTCCTCGTCTCCATGTGCAATCTTGCAAGCACTCTCAACGCCTCTGATAAGTCTGATGAAGCAGAGCAGCTTTTGCGCCGAGTGATTACGATTGGCGAACGGTGCCTGCCGCCCAATGCGTCGCCAACTCTGAATGCCAAAAATGATCTGGCCGCAGTGCTTTTCTTTCAACGTCGCCTGGTCGAATCCGAGAAACTCTTTGCTGAAGTTCTCAAGGCTTCTCAGAAGATAGCCGAAGGCTCAGTCGTGCTAGCCTCCCGAAAAGCGCAGCTGGAGACAGTTCGGAACGAGCTTGAGGCGGCCTTTAGCTCGGACAGCGCTACTAACAGTTAAGACGATAATGCCTTCGTAGTCCTGAATGCGTAGTGTTCTAGGCTCTGTTGAGATGTGTTTGTGAAGATTGCAGGAGAATACATCGAAGTGATCCTTCCTACTGGTCATGCAGAGCAGATGGCTAAGTGATCCAAAACCTGGCTCTTGAATTCATGAGCTGAGAGTTTGCGGTCCTCGATATAATTTCCGGGCGAGCCGAGAATTGCTTCCGCATCCAGACAGAACCTTACAGCAAGCATATACTCCTTCCCCATTGTCTCGCCCAGCTGAGGAACGTAGCTCTCAAGGAGCATCTGCCTGCAGTCTTCCGCATTAGGCATTGTCGGCTTATCCCCATCGTCGTTCTCGTCACTCTCGGTGCCACTGTCATCCATCCTGCAGTCGGTATGGTCGGACAGAATCTGCGATACGCTGCACCAGAGACCTATCTCCAGAAGCACAATACCGAGGCTGAAGAAATTAAACGTTCTCTTAAACGCAAACTTGGTGTTCCCATGCGCTCGATTGCGGTACAAAGGGTGCTCGTAAAGCTCGAACTCTCTTGCGGTACCTACACTGTACTCCGATTCCTCAGGCCTACTTTGATAGGATCCTGCGAGGACAGCGCATGAGACATGCTGATGGGCATTGGCGTTCCCGGGAGTGAAGATCAGGATGTTCTCCGAACAAATACCTTTATGTAGCCAGCCGATCCCGTGCAAAGTATTCAAGGAACCAGCCAGACCCTTTGCAAGTGTAAACAAGTCTCCTAGGAAGGGTCGTTGCATTTTCTGAAGTGAGTCGTTCGATCGGGAAGGTCGGCTATCTCTGATGTAGTTGTAGAGTGTATAAGATATTGTCTTGTCTTCATCAAGACCAATTGTGGTCGCCGGAATTGCGTAGACAAATCCGAAACGATAATACCTCTCATCATGGAAATATCCCAAGCATTCAAGCGCTCGCTCTTTGAGTAGATTGACGCGCGGAGTCTCGTCAGAATTCAGGAATTTAGCTTGTGCTTCCAGCCGTGCATACATCTCTTCACCAATTTTGCCTTTCCAGACAGCATCGTATCTCGTCCATTCGATTAATACCCTTCTGTCATCGTAAGTGCCCACATTTCGTAGCGCATCGGAATTGAATCGTCGCATAGTTGCCCCAGGATAATCTGGATCTACCTCCACCAATCCGCGTTCGACGATCATTTGCGACGTTCTTGACCGGCGTGCTTTTGTTATCGCCTTAGCCATGTACTTCATCGCTGTTTTGATGCCAACTGAACGATAGCGTGCTGGCGCAGCGGCTGAGCGAATAGCGTACAGGATATTCATGTCATCGATCGCCATGACTATGTCGGTCCAACTTCGCTCCACAGTCTGTTGTTGGTCGCTTGAAAGTTTAATTTGGAGGGAATCAATCAAGTTACACACTTCCTGGACCAGTGCGGGGATCCTGCTTTCAACGGAAGGGTCGAGGGGTTGGCCAGTCATCTCAAGTTGCCGGAGACGCTCCTGCAGGATTGTGAATGTTTCCAGAATCTGATTGAGCTGATCATGCACGATATTGGGACTGGCCGTCTGGATGAGCTTCTCGAACTCCTTGACCCATTCTACAAAGCGCTCTCGTTCGAGGCAGAGGAACACATTACACTGTCCCGGTACATCAACGCTGCTGGTTGTTGGACTGAAAGACGGGAATACCGATATGATATCGGCAGACCTAGAGCGGAAAGAGGTAGTAGCAAGCCGTTGAGCAACCACGTCCATAGTGATCCGCGTCCGCCATAGGGGATTGAGCATGTCGCGTACCAATGCCACCAGGTCAGCTGTCAGCTGACTTTTGGAGCCCATTACCAACTTGTTAAGCCAATCGCCAACCGTTCTCCTCACCTAGCCGCCAAGGTGGAAAGCATGGTCGGTCATGCTCATAAATGCGTCACCGTAACTTGCTTTCCGGGTGTTATGGAAATACTCAACGCTTTCTCCCTCGATGTACGTTGCGAATTCGGCTAAGATGCATCCAAAAGCCCACACGTCCGAAGCTCGACCCACATTGCCGATAGTCCAGTTGGATTCGTTGAAAGCTTCCGGAGAGAGATAATCGTCCTGGCCACCTCGAAGCCTTGACTTCGAGGTCTGGTCCTGCGGCTTCAGCTTCGAAAGCCCAAAGTCAGCAACTACAAATGTCTTTCCGAACTGCAGTATATTCGCAGGCCGCAGATCGTGATGGTAACCGATGCGCTCTAGTTGCACATTGTCATCCCGATAAGTGTATCGGTGGATATACGCCAAAGCATCGGCTAGTCGGTACATGCTCGAGTAGAGTTCGTCCGCAATCAGGCCGTTCTGCGAGCGAAAGAACTGATGAAGATCTCGTTGGGCACAGGGGAAAAGGAAATTGTGTACGCCATTCTGCTCGTAGGATCCGAGAAGTTCTATGATGTGCGGATGATGTAGCTTTCGAAGCAATTCCATGACAGTCCTCTCCTCAAGTCCATCTGCGGCCCCACGAAGCTCTTTGCGTACGATATACTGTTAGATCTGCGTCAGCATTGACTCTTTTAGGTTGTTTTCATCACTTACTGCATCGGCTCCATCCCAGAAATCATTACAGCCTGCGCTAACTTTGACTTTGAATACCTCTCCGTAGCTTCCTGCACCAACAGGCTCACTCTCTTGGAAAGGAAGAATCTCTTCCTTACAGATTGTGCGGTGGATCCCTCCCCTTCTAAGATACACCGGTATGAATTGCCACTGACGCTCCATGAATTCTACGGCAGCAGGGGATGGTAGAAATTCAAGGTCATAGCGGGAAAAGGGAAGCTTAGAGTCGTACTGTCTCCGGTAGAGGAAGCTTGGAAGGTGCTCTTCACAATGAATGTATATAAGTATGCAGTATATTTTTGGGATGTACTCTGCGGTGAGATCAACAAAGAGCTCTCTCTCGTCTTCGCGAATTGCTTGATGGTTGGCAATAGTGACCCTTATAACCTCTTTGGTCACGAGCTCGGATAAGACTCTTGGCGGATAAAAATGATCTCTGCCGTTATAAGAGGCCCTACGAGCATCGTAGAGGGCAACACGGAACGAAGGCTGCATATTGGAATCCTAACAAGAAGTGGCACTACTGGTCGATGGGCGTGAGTTGCACGAGGAGAGGAGGTAGCGTGCTATCCCGGTGTGGCTTGCACGCTTTGGATGCCTTGCAGACCACGTGTCCACCAACAACAAAAGGACGGGGCTCAGCTGACCGATCTTAGCCTGCCTTTCCTTTGCGCATTACCAATCTGGCCAGACGTGCGCAATACAATGCATCGACAGGTGCTCTCACAGAGGTATATTGATAGGGAAAAGCTGAGGAGCCTGCTCGAGAAGGAATTTAAAGGCCAAAAGTGCACTGTAAAGGTGAGTGCGGTGCTTTAGCGTTCAACCTTGTAGCCATCTGGGGCCTCTAACACTCCAACAGTCTGAAGACGGAAGCTACATCCTCGACATTCTGCGAGCTTTGACTATGGTGTGTGGCAGTCGCCGACCGCTTTCTAGCTGAAGACTTTCCTTGTTAATGAAGGCCAGGACGAGATCAAGTCCATAGAATACAGTAGGGATCAATTGGCGTAGCTGGCATAGGCTGGGAAGTGTGGCCACCATGGTTTAATGGTGTACTTGTGGCCTAATTAATCCATGCAGCGGTATCATCCTCGCGCGTCGCTGGGATTAGCTTTAGTTTTAGCAAGGTTCTACGACTTCTAAATATCATTCTGAGAGCAACCATAACAAATACTCTGCTGCCGCACTCGAATCGCATCGTAAGCTTACTGTGATGCGACTCCACGCTGAGCTAGCCACGCTGCTGACAAAATAGCCTAGACTCAGAGCCACTTAAGCATCACCAGAATCACAATTTTCTCAACTATAACGCACTTAATAATGATCAAACATCATCGGTAGGTGCTAAAGGACCTTCTACACCTTATGAGGGAATTCTAGCTGAGATTTGCTTCTAAATAGAGAGAGTATTCAATGGTCGCTGAGGACTTCGGATGCTGTTGATCTTCCTTAAGTCCATGTCATTCTGTGGGAACGTGCCAGCCACTGAACCGGCTGTTTTCCGGCTCCCACATTGCAGCCACAAACCTTCAGCTCGAGGCTAGGGCCGCCTAGGTAGCGCCTCTCCTAAACACGTCATGTCCGTTCTGCATTCGATGAGCATACCATAGCAGCGTGCTGAACATGACAGCGCTCAATTTGCCTATCCGAGGTTGGGATAGGTATCCTCTCAATTTTCGGGATTCCTTTGTTGAAGAAGATGTCCAGTATGCGTACAATCGCCTCCGCGATGATGCTTCTCGGCTCTTCTGCGCCGATGAGTCCCAACCCCAAGCGCAGATATGCAGCATATCCAACATGGACGGCTTGATCATGGACACGATCCAGAATGGCCAGCAAGTCGACTCAGTCCTGGGAGTAGTTTGCCCTCTGAAAACTTTAGTGTTGTGGCTTCTCTAAAAGATCTCTAGGCACACCTAAAAGAGGACGAAGACCATATAATGTAGGCAGAATGAGCGGAGGGCGCTGAATCGAAGCTGGGAGCTCAATTTGCAGCAGATTCCTACGTCAGTTCCATTCCTGGTCAAAGTTTCAGTGCTCTGTAAATACTTTCCGCAAGATCTCAACAGCCTACAACGTACATCCCTTCATCCTCGATCATGTGCAGGCATTCGGTGCAAAGAACGATGACAAAGATGAAGATATGTTCGGCGGGTATAGAATCCAAATAGCGGATTCTGACGATGCAGACGATCAGCACTATTGTTCTTTTCGTAGGTTCCCTACACTCTGAGATGGTGCTCTAAGCTGAACAGCGTGCATAAATCTGCTATAACGTTCGTTATGCGGAAAGGACTGGTAGGATAGACTACCCCTGGTCTATCCGCAGGATGGGAGTGTACCACAAGTACAACGGACGGACAAAGTCTTCCATATGGATCTGCTTGCAGCCAACTCAAGTAGTGCGGGAGTCGGTCTTGACGAATCGCCTCAAGGATCCTCCTGGCTCGAAACACATTCAGATTCTGGCATCCACGATTCAGAAATGGAGATGGTATCTTAAGGATCTGGATTACAAAGTTCGGGAGAAGGTGTTATGCACCAGCACCGAACTGTATATGCAGATGTAATTGCTGACCTTCCGTAAAGAGTCAACTAGCCAGATTTTTCGACAGCCTCGACCCTACCCCTCGACACATAAACTTCGACCTCGCATTCTCCGACATGCAGCGATTGCAGTACCTTCGAGAGACCCTGCAGGACGCCATCTTGCACCTGCAGACCAGCGGTGACCTTATCCGCGGTATCGATTCGTTGCAGACCAGGTTGCTTCTTGCGAAACGTGAAACTTTCAAGGAAATTTACCACCAACGCTGCTTAGTATGCCTCTCCCGGTTCCTTGTGCATGAGAAGTGGGCACAAAACTCTCTAGATCATGTTAGGAGCATCTCTCAGCTTGTAAGTGTTGGGCATAGCTGATCTAATCCATCTTGAGTTGATTTTCTTTAAGGTTCAGATGCTTCTCAGTTACCGGCACGACGAATCAATCAGTAAGAACAGTAGAAGCATAGCCAGCTTAGCTGTGGCCTCCGGAAGAGATTCTGCGAACATGCTTATACTGACCGAAGCAACGAAAAAAGATTCTGGGACTATGAGGCTCATAGCCATGATTACAATTCTGTACCTTCCCGGAACCTTTGTAGCGGTAAGGTGTCTTCTAATATCCGAGCGAACCTACTAAGTGTTAACTATTATAGACACTTTTCAGTACGGCTTTCGTTAACCTAGTAGGAGATAGCGACACTTCGAAAAGATCTCTTGCTACTAAAGAGGGTGGCATCTATGCCGGAGTAACATTTACTCTAATGCTTTGTACATTCGTGGGCGGGTGGATTTGGAAATCTAGAGAGCAGAAGAAGTATAATGCTATGCAGCACCCCATGCCATAATAGAAGTAGCGTTGGAAGTTTCTCTAAATCTAAGAAGTATTATCTTAAATCTTTGTTCTTTTAGCTCTTAAGCTATGCATCTAATATTTAAACTATCTAGAATATAGTATTCTAATAGATCTTAGTACTATAATTTTTAAAATCATAAATATTTAGATAATAATTACTAGAGAATAAAAGTTAATTAAGAAAGAAAACTCTAAGATTTTCACTATAAATAGAAACTAGTGGACTAGTTGTCTACTAATTAGTATAAGCTAATATATAATACACTCTATAAAACTTAGCGCGCTCTATTTAATCTATAATAAAGCACGCTAAGATAAAAAGAGTAGGTAGAGTAAATAGAATAAAATATAGAGATATATACTCTAGGTTCTACTATATAGATAGCAATAGTTCTCTTACAGAAGTTTTATACTTAACTTAAAATAAGAATCTTATATTCTTATAACGTACGTAATTAATTATTATATGATATTAATCTAACTTTATTATATCTTATACTATCTTCTACCTTCTTATTTAGAATCCTAATCTTTATAGTAGCCTAGTACTATTCTATAATAAAGCACTATTATAACTTTTATGTAATTTATATTTTTTATTACTTACTAAGTAGTTTAGATCTATTCTAAGTGCTCTAAGTACTTAAGAAAGAAAGTTTATTTGCAAGCGCGTTAGAAAAACTTAGATTTTACAAGTAGATGCAAGATTTACTAATATAGTTCTTTAGTATAATACCGAGTACACTCGCTTACTAGGAAATAGCTAGTAAGACTAGTAATAAGATAGAGTTTCGCGCTATATAAACTTATAGTAGAGTTTATATTATATAGAATAAGCTAAGAAAAGAAGCGTATCTAAAGAGAGTTCTATAATAGAATCTTATAAGATATCTTAAGATAAGAAAATATAGTTATCAAGTCTTGTAGCTTTTTACTAGAATATTTTAAGAGAATATAAAGAGAAGAGAGGTAATTGAAACTTTAAAGTATTATATATTAGAGATCTCTCGAGACTATTCTAAAAGAATTAGTACTTAGAAATATTACTATTATAAAGCCAAGAGATATATATTTCAAGCTATAAAATAATAAATCTTAGATACTATTTAAGTATACTACTCAGGCTATAGAAGTATCTATTAAATATAACTCTAAAAGCTTTTCTATATCTCTATAAGGTTCTATCTAGAGCTTTACTAAGCTATAAACTCTAAATTCTATAGAGATAAATAAAAAGATATTATCTAATAAGCGTAATTAGACTTCTAAGGCTATAATTCTATCTAGTAAGCGCCTATATAGAAGTAATATAGATAATTAACAAGAGAAGAATATATAAGCTCTACTAATCTTTAATTTTACTATAGAAACTCTAAGAAAAAAGAATAAGAGGTAATCTAAGAATAAGAGTAAGGAAACTACTATTAAAGTATAAGTAGAAGAAGAGTAAATTAAGAAATCTAGTAATAAGTTAGATATAATTAAAGAGATTAAGCGTCTAAGATATATGCTAGTATCTAAGAAAGTGGAATTTAAAGAAGGCTACTACTATTATAAAATATATATCTATTAAAGTTAAGAGGTAGCTACTACTAGAAACTATAAAAGAAAACTAATAGATCTAGAATCTTGCATTAAGTAAGCTTCTCTATTAATAGCTTTAGTATAAGCTTTTTAAAGAAGGTTATTATATTAAATATATTAGTATCCTTTATATTAATCTAGAACTACGTAAGAATATTGATATAAGAGTCTTTCATAT